GAGGCCTGATTTGAACTCACAAAGATTCCTGCTTCCAGACTGAGCCCTCCATCCACTGCACCACTTGGTGTCCCTTTGGGAGATAAGTTATGTTATTTTCAGCATGTTAATTTTGTCATTTGTCCGTGGGACATCTATATATCCTATAAGCATTTAAGATAATAGACTGGAAAGGGGAAAGGTTAATGTGGAAGAACGCATACCTGAGAACAGAAAGAACAGAGTTTGTATAGATGAAGCCGTGCTTACATTCACTTCAAAGCTCAGCAGGCCTATGATTGTTATCAGCGTGGGCCCTTTGTCCTGTGATACATTGCGTCTCTTCTATGACTTTCTAAGAGGTCTTCGTAAGTTATGATAAAAAAAAAATAGTTCGTTACTCTTTGGGCAATCTGGTGAGCTTTCTCAGCTTACCTAAGCTAGTCATTGTATAATAGATATGTGGTCTTTCAAGCACAACCTTGAAGTCTTTCCAGGCTGGTAGGACCTGTCAGTGCTTTTGATCCTGTGAACTAGCCTTTTGTGAAGCCAGTATCACCTTCACAGCAAATTTCTTCCACTTGTTTTTTCATTTAGTTGCTTTCAATAGCAAATACGTTACAATTTTTTCAGTATTTTGGCAATATTCTAGTATTTCTTGTCTCATAGAGTCATTGATTTCTATTTTCTGCCTTCTAAGTTTAGCCAGTATCATTCTGGGCCCACTGGCCCAGAGTCATGCTGCTCCATCTCCCCCAATCCTCCCAACCCACCCACCCACCCACCCAGAAATCCTCCTGAAGTGTTGGAATATTTTTTCTCTCTACAATTCAAGCCCCTGTTCCTGGTGTGTTCACTCACTGTTGGATGTCAGCGACTGACTAGCACCCCAGTTCTGTTTAGCCAATTAACATCAATTAGCTTTTACAAAGTGATATTTACAGCATAGAGCAAGGACAGAAGTACACATTTCCCATTAAATACTTTGGGTCACACCCTCCCCTATACTACCTTGGTCTCTAGGGAGATGCATTGATCCCACAAAGTTCACATCTGAATGTAGCATTACTGACAGACAGGTACTAGACTCCACTCTACTGGGCTGGATCCCGAAGGTTACTCTTCATTTCTCAGGGCATCAGTGCTGGACAGGCAGCAAGACCGAGCATGGGCTTGACTACCAGGCTTCTGGACCTTCCTTGGCTTACTCTCCTGACCTTTTGAAACTCATAAGATTATAACCTCCAAATTCCTTCATATTAAACGAAAAAGAACAAATACCAAAACAAAGAACTGAGGCCTGCATTCACTGGGCCACATGTCAGCCTTGGAGGGGGAGGGCCTCTCCCTTTACAGAATTATTTCTCACCAGATACTGCCAACCAAAGAGTCAAACAAGAGCAGAGGTCCAAACATGAGAGAGAAACGAAGGCCAACAAAAGCCACTTGAAGGTAGCCCCATAGGTCTAGTTATGCAACTGCGGTGAATCAAAGAGGCAACTGTTCACCATTTGGTTACTAGTTACAAAATGTCTGCACTGGCTCCAGAGTCTCTCCAAGGCCCTTCCATTCCACATAATCATCCTTTTCCTGAAGCAGGCTGCCTGGCCTCTTCCACAGCCAGAACCATCAGGGTTGGGCTGAGTGACCAGTCCCTTATTATAGAAGATGCTCATTCTTCCAGTTTTTTCCTCAAGAGCTCTAATTTCATTTTTATGTCATATTTCATTTTTTTCCAGTCATACTTGGCAAAATCATCCTTTTCTCTGGGGCTTGTATTTGTTGTTAAGTGACTTTCTTTTGGAGGGGTTCACCTCTTGGGCTTCTCTTAATCCATAGTATTTCTTCATTGTTTTTGTTTCTGTTTTCTCTTGTTTTGTTTTGTTTCATTTTATTTACCTGCTTCTTCAGATTCAGTTTGTAGATTAGGACTTTGTGCTAAGGCGCCCCTTTCCATGCTCTTGGATAGTTTTGTCCCCTCAGTAGTTTGAATGCTGCCTCTAGATTTCGGGACAGGGCGGCTGAGATTAGAACCTGCCCTCTTCCTGTAATCCCTGCTTTCTGATCCACTAAAGGTGCTGGGTATTTGTCTGTCTTTTTTCCCTTGCTTCTCTCTCCTGATGTAGTTCTTACATTTTTTTCTTGCTAAGGCTATGAGTGCTCCCAGGCATGCATTGCTCTGTCCTTTTTCCTTACAGAGTTATCTGTGGATGCTGCATCTGTCCCTAATGCAGCTCTTATATGCTGGGACTCTCTAGTCTTCTTGATCACTGATCTTTCTGCTGCCTTTTCAGATATTTGCTAGAGTCTATGTTAGAAAATTGGGCTCTTTATCTTTTTACATAAGTATTTATTGAATTGTTTAATGAATGAATGAGGTCAGTTCCATCCATCTTAAAATGCTAAATATATGAATTTTTCTAGAGTAGTAAAATTGTTACTTGAGAAAACATCAAATTAACACTATTCTACATATGTATCCCTCATCTAACAATTGCACTTTAATAACTAGAATGTTTTGGATTAATATAACAAAGATGTTCAAAATTTTAACCAGCAATTATGAATACATTTTCAAACAATTTAAAATGTGTTTTTTTTCCTTTTTTCATTTTTGGCTATAGAACTAATTTTGTGTTTGTCTTAATTTAATACAGTGAGCAACTTATTCATTTAACAGATATTTATTAAGCACCTATTCCATGTCAGGTTTTACACAAATACTGAGAATGCCAAGACAAGAACAAACCAGTTCAGGCCTTCAAGGAGAGTTCAAATCCAGCCTCTCAGACACTTATGAGCTATACTATCTTGGGCAAATCACTTGACCTCTGTTTGCCTTAGTTTCCTCAATTATAAAATCGGGATAATAATAGGACCTATCTCCCAGGGTTCTTGTGAGGATCAAATGAGGTAGCATTTATAAAGAGATAACACAGTCCCTGGCACTTAGGCACTATATAAATGCTAGCTGTTATTATTATTAGTGATAGTAAGGATGATGCTTCAGATAAAAATATCATTGAAAGATTTAAAATATTATATGCCTAATGCATTCAAATATTCATTTTACCATGTGCCTTCAACATAATTAGGATGTTTAAAAGTATATATAATGAAGGACTACCTGAGGGTTTTTGCCAAACGTTATTTGATAACGGTGATGAAATCATATATTGTCAGAGGAGATCCAAACAGTAGTTATGTTAATGTTACTATATCCTGTTTTAAGTCATTCTGTCAGTACACACTTTGGGGTCTTGTGGGTATTAACGTTTCTTTTGTGTAGAGGAAATAAAGTGTTCCTCGTTCATACTGTACATTGAATATCTTTCTATCCTAGACGTGAGCTGACCCTCACCTATGAATAATCATCCCAGGGGCACAAGGGTGAAAGTTATAATGAGCCAAAGAATATGATCAAATGAGTCTGACCTTATTAGAAGCCAGGTGCTCCCCACACTGACCTTGGTCACTGCATAAATGGAACCGTGGCATCATGCAGTCATGGCAAAAGCCCCTAGGGCCATGAGCACAGGAGGAATCATTAAGATTTAGATGGAGAAAAAATAAGACACAGTTCTTGTCCTCAAGTTCATACTTCCATAGCAATTACTAGTATAATTTTAATTCTTGCTTTTCATGAACAAAATTAAAGCCCAGTCGAGTTAGAAAAATGTAAAATATGCCTGGTGCTGCATATTCTTAATGAATATAAACATGGACTTCAATCAGTATTTATTATTAGAGAGCATTTTGCTACTACCAATACATTAAACTAGGTAATGAGCATTTGCTTTATAGGACATTCCTAACTATAAAATTACTGTTTCCTTTTTCTAAATATCTTTAAATGTTTGTAATGCAAATAAACAGATATACTCTCCTCTCCCAATCCCTTTCATTATCATAAATTTTACACTAGGATGCAAAGTCAAATGATATTTATATAAGTAGAATTTAGTTGAGTTAGACTTTGCTTATGAGTGGACACCATGCAAACAAATGTGTACATTAAAATTGGACAGCATTTAGAGATATAATAATTCACTTCAGTGCCTACACAAGGAGAAGAACCAAAGTTCCATTTATGCACCCATTAAAATATGGTGGCTAATGATGCGTTCATGTTTAATATTGCTAATAAATTTAACAATTCACATTTTTATTGATAAACATTTTCTTGAAATGTAGTCTAGGCAGACAAATTGTTAAATTTTAGCACTTTATAAATGAGAATTGCAGAAGCTGATACAATTAGTTAGTAGCAACACTATATTATAAGAGACCTCTACCAACTTACCTGACTTTTTAAAGCCCTAACCAGTGGTTTTCGTATTTCACTTTTATGAGCAACCAAATTGCACACAATTTTCAGGAGAAAATACATGTGGTAACACAATAATGATCATAATAAATACTAAGTTTCTGCTTGTTGACTTAAATTACATACTTATATTTCAAGAAAAAATATTTCTCAATGAGTCTAGCTAATACACTGAAGTATTTAGCTCTTCAAATTTTAAAGTATAGAAGAAATATCATTTAATAATCCTTTAGAAAATTGTCTCACCCACAGAAGAATGATGGAATATATTGTGAAGCCTAGAATCTACATGTTTATTTGAAGTTAAAAGTCTAAAAATATTTTTTCACTGAAAGTAATAAAATATTTTTGCTGTTTCTCTTTATGTAGACTTTTAAGAAAGAGCCCGTCCATCACTCAGCGTGTTTTACATATTTCCCTTATCCCCCTTTGGGAAGTTCAGTCTGAGATTTGATTAAAAATTGTAATGACACATGTGAAATAGCATGTTTGAAAATAGCAATCAAAATTCTAATAGACATATTACAATAAGCTAAAATATTATGATATCTTTTAAAAAAAATAAGGGTTTTCCAAGTCAGATCATTGATATTCTGCTTTGATATTCTCAGATATGGTTGATGAGAAATGTGATTCTTTTGGATTTTATTTTATGTTACTTATTAGCTTTACTTTTCTGTTTCTTCCTATTAAGATTCCAGAGGCTTATTTTGTTAGAGATCCTCATACTTTTCTTCTTACAAAGGATTTTATCCAGGTATATGTGTTGCAGTTGGTGTTAAGAAATCTCCCCAGTCCTAAGCTGCATGTCATCACAGGTTAACATTCTCACTTGTACCCTTAGCTACTGGAAATAAGAATGGTTAGCTGGGTAACTGCAGCATGCTTGAAAAGAGAAGCAAAGCTTGTCGACAAAATACTAACACTTGGATAAGTCTGCGCCCTGGGAGAAGGCACCACGTGAATCTTCTACACTTTTTTCATGGCTGACTTGGGATATGCTTGCATTGTCAGATAGTGTGTTGACCTACCTCTTTGACGCATATTGATTATGACAATCACTCTTCTTTCCCTGCAGGCCATGGAGGCACAGATACAGAACTTTGGACAGACGCCATCTCAGTTGCTTATCGAGCCACATCCACCGCGGAGCTCTGCCATGCACCTGGTGAGACATCAGCCTGTAGGAAACTTTTTATTTCCTTTTTACCTGAGTACCTTTTATAGGTCATATGAAATACCTGTTTAAGCAACACTTTTAAAATGTTTTTTACTTCATTCATTTACCTGTATTTCTAGTTACATCTTGATTCTTCTGAGAGAGAGAAGTTGGATTTATATATACTTTATTGGATTACCCTTTTTTGCATTCACAGAAGCATTTCCCCTTCAACTTATCTTCCATTTTTTGTCTTATGCTCTTGTTATATATCCCCACACTCATACTCACTACATTTCAATAAAAGGAATAAACATTAAAAAAGTGATTTGTGATCATGTGTACTGATGAAAGTGAAGAATTAATGGTCAATTTATATGAACTTCTTTCCATTATTCACAGAAAACAGTAGAGGCATTCCTCTGATTTTAGTCTTAAGCAATAAAATTTATTCCCAAAAGCAAAACATTGATCTTTTTCATAAATAGTTATGAGAAAAAGGTCCATTAGATATATACATTTCATGTAGTGAAGGCCTTATTTTCAATGCCTTTTATGTTAGCAGTGAACTAATAAAACTGTGTTTACACAGTATCAAAATATCTATAGTCATTTGTAGTCATCAAAGCAAGAAGAGCCTTATTCAAAAGAAGGAACTTAAGATTATGGTCCATAACATACCATAATATATAGGCTATCCTCTATTCAATTATTTTTTTTTGGTGATTAAGGCCATACATGCACCAATGATGTATATTTAATCATACTCTTAATAACAGAATCAAGTATCTTGGGGGTTTTTTTTCCCTTCTGTTTCAATTTTCATCATACTTTACAATGAAAAGGCAAAGGGCATCACATTGGGTGGGCAAAATTATTATGGTTGTATGATAAACCATTGTATGAATTTTCCTTTGCTAAGACAGACTTCATTGACTTTTAGTTAAACGTTTTGCTGAAATTTTCTGTCAGATGAATCAGGTTTCACCCTTAACAAGCTCCTTCCAGATACATACCAATTAATTCCTTCTCATAAAGTATTTGAATATTGTGTAGAAATTACTGAAGGACCTCAGAATACAGGGTAAAGTATTTTCAGTGAATTGTTCAGGGAATCATAGCCAACCCTTCATTTTTTGAAAAAGTTTGGCAAAGGAGTTTTATTCCCAGGTTACTCTTCTCAGATTTAAAAAATGCTTATCCTGGAAAAATGCCCAGTCACAGTCATTGATTTCCTACGGGACATTATTAGAACCCAAACTGGTGTGGAATTGTTTAGCTAGGCTAGAACATTTAAACTTTCTGAGTTCATGTAATGGGGAATTATTAGCTAACTAAGTGATTACAAAGCACTGTACCAAGAAAGTTTTGTGGGCACCAAATAATAGTTATTTTGAATGTTATATTTTCCATATCCTTTATACATAATAGTCACTCACAATTATTTGTTGATTGGTTGATTGGCATGTTTCAAAATATTAGATGTTTATCTTAACATAGTTTGCTTATAGCTCATAACTATAAATATCAGTGTAGAAACTGTTCGTGTGACACCAAAACAACCATTGTAAAGTTTTAAAAAGTTAGGTAATGAATGTTTATTTGTTTGTTTTGTAGGGGGATGGAGCCTATGCTATACTAACAATTTGTTAATTCATTTTTTTTTCATCAGGACCACTGATTTTTAGCCAAATCACCTGAATTTACTAATTGATTAGACATCAAAAAGGAGAAAGCTATAGCCTGGTTTTTCATTTGTTCGACAGCTACATTTGAATTTGTACTGATTATTTTATTTTGTAACCCAAGATATGGACTCTATAGACACTTATGATTCCTTCTGAGTATGGATCCGCAGGCTTTGTCCTTATGTCAAAGCTCTCCTCTTTCTGTCATGTGTTGCTACTTCCAATTGTTCCATTTTGCCTGTTTGTACCCATACTCTATTTAACCTCATTTTTCCTGGACCTCCTCACTAACTGTGTTATCCCTTCTGTTTTCCTTCTGCTTTCCTCTCCTTTCTATTCAACAGTGTTTCCTTCCACAGAGTCCACTCATGTTTAAAGATCAGATGCAACAGGATGTTATAATGGTGCTGAAATTCCCGTCAAATTCTCCAGTCACACATGTGGCAGCCAACACTCTTCCACACCTTACCATTCCTGCAGTGGTAACTGTGACTTGCAGCAGACTTTTTGCAGTGAATAGATGGCACAACACAGTAGGTATGTGCTCAAAAATAAAAGATTGAGTAAATATTTCTTGAGTAGCAATAATTGTTAAGATAAAAATGTTCTGCAAGTGAATTGTCTAAAAGACCAGATTATCTGAAATCTCTCAAAAGTGTTAGGTACACATCAGCACAGATATAATGAAGTAGACAACTGAAGCCATTTTAAAAATAATTCAGATCCCCACCAACATTTTGACCTTAGTTTAAGAAACATTGAGTTTCTTAAATATGTTTTTATATCTGAATCCTCTGGATGATTGTCTCAATTTTCCTCTTCACTTTAGTATTTGTAGATGTAGGCTAAGTTGTTTGGTGACTTTGCAATTTTCTTTGTGAAATTACTTTTTTTTTTTTATTACAGCCACTACATGAAGAATGATACATTGGGTCTTTATATAGCCAAGACAGAACTGGATATGGTCAAACAATTTGATTAGCTAAATTCACTAATGTTTATTAAAACAATCCCTACCAGTTCCAGCCAGGAATGAATTAGGCCACATTAAATTGATTTATCTGAATTTTTCTAATGTACATAGCTTGTAATTTAGAACTAGACAACCATCTTTTTCAGCTTGTCTCATGGAATTCCTTAAAATATTTCTTTGGTTGATTACTGTCATCATATTTAATGAGTCAAAGCTCCTTTCATCCATTTTGAAATAACATAGCAAGAATATCACAAAAACATTTGGCCGTTTTTAACTATGTGTCCCTCACATTAGTGCATAGGAAACTATAAAGAAACTAAAAATTAGCCCTTTCACGTTATGATTTTCACTAAGCCAAGTCCTGATCTATTTCAGGATCCACACCCCTTTCCCATGAGACCAAGAAGAATGTTTTCACCTGGTTTCACCTGGAATTGAGTCAGTGAACAGTCAGCCAGCAAGAATTTATTAAGTGCTTATTATTTGCTAGGCACTATGCAAAGCACCAGAGATACAAAGAAAGGCAAAAACGCAGTCCCTGCACTCAAGGAGCTCACATTTAATGGGGGAGAAAGCATTCAGATAACAAGGAGATAAATAGCCATCTATCCCATTTAAGAACAGAGACAGAAATTAAAGTGGAAAGTTACGCAGCTTAGAGAGAATTTATGTAAGGAACTTTGCAAACCTTGGGGTCCTATTTGTCAGCTGTTGCAGTTGTTATTGTTGCTCAGTCATTTCAGTCATATCCAATTCTTCATATTGTTTTGGTCTACTGGTTATTAAATTCTCTCTCGATATGTCATTGACTCAGTTTGTGCTTTGGAATTAGTAATTTTTAATCTTCTGTTCATTAGTTTGTCAGTCTGCAAAATGAAGAGACTACTGGCAACCACAAAGGAAATGATAAAAACTTTAAACTATTAATAAGTACTGGAAGCATGAGAGAAATGGCAAAAGTATGAAAGATGCTCTTAAAATGCCTAAACATGGGAGGGTAGGAATTCTTGGGTAGTCCAGGAAGCACTGTCAGCCCCTGGTTGTGGAGGTCTGGTTTCATTCTTTTTTATTTTATTTTATTTTATTTATTTATTTATTTATTTTGGTGAGGCAATTGGGGATAAGTGACTTGCCTAGAGTCACACAGCTAGTGAGTGTTATGTGTCTGAGGTCACATTTGAACTCAGGTCCTCCTGACTCCAGGGCCAGTACCGATACTGCACCACTTAGCTGCCCTTGGTTTCATTCTTAAAAGGCAGGTTGCTATATGGCATTAAATTCAGGTTCAGTGTATGTACTCCTTCCAGATTCTTATGGATAAAGTCTGTCTTACTCAATAAATGGGAGAAGAGTTTAAATCACCATCCCTGTTCACTCCATTGCCACCTTCCAGGAGAATTCAGAATAGAACTAGGAGGACCTTGGTTCAGTTACCCCTCTGACACATACTGGCTATGTGGCTAGCCAAATTACTCCATCTCTCAGTGCTCTGACCATCTCTCTAAGACTGTAAGTTGCAGAAAAGATACCAATCTGCATTTGTATAGGGAATTTCCTCATTCAAGATTTGCCAGTACCAATGAAATCACAAGTCCATTTACTATTCTTACATTCAAATCAATATGCTTCTGAATTTTCACCGTCAAGTTTTTGGAATTTGAGCAACTCCCTACCAAAAGAATGGAATTTTTTAGTATGTGGAGCATGAGGGGATTGAGGCTATCTGTACTTCCAAAATGAAAGAGAGAATTTAAGGCAAATCCCTGGCTGGTTGAAACCCAAAACACTTTCAGCTAAATTATACAAATAGTTGAGCCAAAATTATAAATATCTTAGTTTTCCATGTCATTTAACATGTGCAGTCACACTTTTTAAAGCATGGAACCATGTATTTTCACTACATGAGTATGAAAATTATAACTATTTTCTCAGCATTTGTGTTAGAAAATGTTCTTTAAAACTGTCTTTTTTTACAGATAACCTTTTTTTTTTAAACAGATAACCCTCAAAGGTTATCTGTAAAAACAGTATAGTGTACTACTCAGATGATATAACATACATAAAACACTCTGGAAAACATTACATAAATGTTATTACTCTTATCCTTAAAGGTAGTAAAATAATTTTGTCCAAAGAGGATATATATGTGTGTGTGTGTATAAATATATGTATGTGTATATTATGTACATGTAGTACATAATCTTAAAAGACTATTAATGGGTAAAAATCATTTTATAATTTTATTCATTCTTTTATCTTTAGGCCTCAGGGGAGCCCCAGGATACTCCTTGGATCAAGCCCATCATCTTCCCATTGAAATGGATCCTTTAATTGGTATGTAAAAGATGAACATATGGTAAAGGTTTAAAAACATTTCTAAGGACATTAAATCTCCATATTTTTACATGATCAGATTGTACAAAGATTAAAATTACAACTCCTCCTATATATCTGTACAAATGGATAAGGCATTAAATCCATCTGGGCCTCATTCTTCTCATCTATAGAATGGAGCGGTGGGATGAAATTATTTCTGAAGTTCCTTCTAGCTCTCAATCTGTGCTCTATGATTCTTCACTCTAAAATCTAGAAAGAACCTGGGTGACTAGAAGGTGCCCCAAATTAGACTGTGCCCTAAATAGAAATAGAGAGGTTAGGAAGAAGGAAAGGTTTAGTGGAGAGATTTTTAGATAATGAGCTTTCTAAACATTTTGAAATGGAGAAGTCTATGAGACATCCAGGAGAGGTGATCCCGCATGAGCTGGTAGTATATAATTTGAGTTCAAGAGAGAAATTAAGGTTAGATAGAGATTTGGAGGTTATCAGGATAGCGATCATACTTGAACCTTTAAGAGCTTTAGAAATCTCTAGAAAAGAATGTGGAGAAGAGGAGAAGGCCCCTCGGCAAACATCCATACTAAGGAAGAAGGAGATGGATGATGATCCAGTAAGGGGGACTAAGGAGTTTTCAAAGAAGTAGGAAAAGACTCGAAAAAGTAGGAAAAGACATGAAAGGCAGGAGAGAAGAAAGTGTTGGGTAGTGCGTGGTCAGTAAAATAAAAAGTTGGTGAGAGATCAAGAGAGATAAGGCCCAGATAAGACTTTGGAATATAGCCATTGTAATCATTTGTAATTTTAAAGAGAGCAATTTCATTAAAGAGGTAGGGTATAAAGCCTCATTTCAGGGAGTTGAGAAGTGACTGAGAGGTGAGGAATTGGAGGTAGGGAATTTAAAGGACATTTTAGAAGTTTGACTGAACAGGAGGGATACAGGATGATAGCTTGCCTTGAAAATGCTCAGTGGGGCTAAAACAAAGATTTTAATAACAAAGGTTTCCATGTCCCTAACTTCAGTATGTTCGGTTATTCACAATATAAATTTAATTGAGTTGAGGGGAAGAGTAGTTGCTTGTGGGAAAGAAAGTTGTGGGTGGAGGTCATTTCTTTTTGGCATTTCATCCATATAAAGAGCTCTGTCTCCAATGAAGAAGTTCACTCTAAATCAGCAGAAGCTCTACAGCTTTTTGTCTTAGATGCCTGAAGCTCTGCCTAGGATCACAACAGTCATGTATGTGTCAGCCCCAGGAAGGATATGAGCCTAAGTCATCTTGACTACTATCCTCTACTCCACATTTCCTCTCCTATAAATTGAATAGAAGACTTTAATAGTGATAAAAACAAGCTTTCAATTGATCTCATCGTATAAAGCATTGTAAAGGCAATTTGAAAAAAAAATCAACAACCTGAAAATTATGTGAATTATATACACTCTGGTGCTTTTGTTGTACACTTCGCAAGCATCAGTTTAGGCCATTATCTAAGAAAATGGCACTACTGGCCCGCCATTAATAAGGCATGCACTTTGAATTGTTTTTCTAGTAGTTATGATGGATTTTTGTGAACAGTCTCTCACTGGACCCAAATGTCATGTATTTACAAGTCAGTGCTGGGGTCAGTATATGGTCATGGAATTAATCAGACCTAACTGACCCACACAAAGACCTAAGTGATCCGCAAAGTATGGTTGTTCTTTTTTAACACTACACAGAAAATACCTACCTGCATCAATATTCATGTTGCCTAGAGGCCAAGGGAGGCAAGAAGCCTAAATTACAGTCCCATCTTTGTCACTTACTAACTGTGTGACCTGAGGGAAGTCATTTCATCTCAGTGAGCCTCCATTTCTCCATAACCTGTAGTAGTGATACTAATATTATTTCCCTGGCCTGCTTCACTGATTGTTGGTATTGAAAATCAAATGAGATGCTTTATGTAAACTGTGAAGTGTATCTAAATGCAAATTATTATTATTTTCTCATTATTAGATCTACTCTGGTCTTTAAAGCTAAAAATGAGATAGTATGTAAGCATTTCAGCAGTTACTTGACACCTTTTCACAAAATCATACTCAAATGCTTTTTAAGAAAGCATTAGTGTTAAGACCAAGGATATTTTAGGATACTCTGGCATAGTTTGGGATCTAGAAGTCATTGCCATTGTAACTGGACAGTCACACTAGAATGTGTGATAGAAAAATTAAAATTTCCAATAAATACCAATTATTCAAGGAATAATTATTTTCTACTGTTGCCTATCTTGAATTATTTCACCATTCACCATTTTAATAGCTATTTTTAAAGTTAAAGTGTCTGAAAAAAAGCATTTAGATTTAATGGGTGCTAAGGTAGAATGGTGATATTAAACATGTGCTTGAAGAAGGTTCCATTTTCTGTTTAAGAATTCAGCACAGTTTATATCCTGAAGAGTGGAGAAGTACAGGGGACAGACACTAGGGAAGTCACACTTCTTCTGGGCTCCTGACTTTATTCAGATTTAATCCTAATGCAGTACACTGATACTCTCTATTCTTCCTCCCCATTCCTTTTTATTCTGTCCATTTCTCACTCAAGCCCATTCTGGAAAGACCTTCTGTTGGTTGACAATCAAGGTTTTTAAAAGCTGCTGACCTAAAATTCCCTGTGGGACTGTGCCCAGAAAACAGATTTTTTTTTTAATAAATCTCTATTTCCTATAAACATCAAACTCAGTCAGAAAATAACATTCTGGGATATTGAAATATATTTTAATTATGTAAATATGACCAGACATAGTATTTACTGATGAACAGTTGCCTCTTAATGGTTTTATTTTATTTTTTTACTGGATATTTTTGACCTTGTACATATCTACAAGATGTATTCAACTTTTTATTTTTATTGTGTTTTAAACATGTTTTTCTTAATATCATATATTTTTAAAGAGTACTTAAATTACTGATGTATGTTTTAAGATATGTGCGGTAGTTTTAGAATAATTGCCACCATGAGGAAAACAGTTTATTTTCATTAAAGAGAAACCTCAAGATCACAGCAATCTTACATTTCTGATAGAGTATTAGTACTTTTAAATGTTCATATTTTAAAATATGCAACAAATTCACAGTTCATTAAAATTTAAACATAGGCATTTTCTTCCATAATTTCATAGTGGAATTATAAGAGTAATTTACTTATTAACTTTGTTTGCATTTATTTACAGCAAATAACTCTGGTGTGAACAAACGACAGATCACCGACCTTGTGGATCAGAGTATACAGATCAATGCTCATTGTTTTGTTGTCACAGCAGATAATCGCTACATTCTTATCTGTGGATTCTGGGATAAGAGTTTTAGAGTTTATTCGACAGAAACAGGTAAATTCCTTCACACTCTGACTCTGGCCTACCTTTCAATCAATCAGTGAATAAACATTTATTGAGCACCTGTTATAGGCCACACACTGTGCTCTGGGGACACAAAAGGTGGCACAAAAAAAAAAACCAGTCCTGTCCTCCAGGAGCTTACAATCTAATGGGAGAGACAACTTGAAAACAAATATATTCAAAGCAAGCTATATACAGGATATATAGGAGATAATTTAACAGAGGCAAGGCACTGAAATAAAGAGGGATTGGTGGAGGCTTCTAGTAAAAGAAGGGATTTTAGCTGGAACTTTAAAGAAAGTTAGAGAAGTCTGTAGTCAGAGTGGAGGAAGGAGAGCATTCCAAGCATGGGAGACAGCCAGGAAAAAAAAAAACACCTGAGCTGAGAAATTAGATGTCTTGTTTGTGGAATAACCACGAGGCCATTGTCACTAGAATGAAGAGCGTGTGGCAGGGAGCCAGGTGCAAGAAGACTGGAAATGTAGGAGAGGCCTAGGTTATGAAGAGCTTTGAATGCCAAACAGAACATTTTGTATTTGCTCCTTGAGGCAATAGGGAGCCATTGGAGTTCATTGAATAGGGGGGGTGACATGATGTAACCTGTGTTTCAGGAAAATCACTTTAATGGCTGAATGGAGGATGGATTGGAGTGAGGAGAGACCTGAGGTAGGCAGACCTGCCACGGGCTATTGCAGTGGTCCAGGTGTGAGGTGATGAGGGCCTGCACCACAGGGTGGTGGTAGTGTCAGAGGAGAGAAGGGGGCATAATGAAGAGATGTTGCAAAGGTGAAATCAACAGGCCTTGGCAACAGCTTGGCTGTGGGGAGTGAGAAATAGTGATGAGTCTATGATGACTTCTAGGCTGTGAGCCTGAGAGGCTGGAAGGATGATGTCCCCCTCTACAGTGTTACAAAAGAGAGGAGGGTTTTGAGGAAAAATAATGCATTCTTTTTTGGACATGGTGAGTTTAAGATGTCTTCTGCACATCCAGTTCAGGATATCCAAAAGGCAATTGCAGATGCAACAGGAGAGAGATTGGGGCAGCAAAGGTAGATTTGAGAATCATCAGCATGGGGGCAGCTAGGTGGTGCAGTACGTAGAGCACCGGCCCTGGAGTCAGGAGGACCTGAGTTCAAATCCAGCCTCAGACCCTTGACATTTACTAGCTGTGTGACCTTCAGCAGGTCACTTTGCCTACCAGAAAAAAAAAAACAGAGAATCATCAGCATGGTGGTAGTAATTAAATCCATGGAAATTGATGAGCTCACCAAGTGAAGTAGAATAGAGGGCCCAGGACAGAATCCCTAGGGATACTTGCAGTAATTGGGCCTGATCTGGAGGAGGATCCACCAAGGAGAGAGAGAGAGAAAGAACGGTCAGATAGTTAGGAGGAAAACCAGGAGAGACTGGTAGCCTAAGTGATCAGCAGTGTCAGCAGAAAGGTCAGGGAAAATGAGGATTGAGAAAAGGTCATTGGATTTGGCAACTGAGGGATCGTTGGTAACTTTCCAGGGTTATTGCTCATTACCTTCCCTCACATTGTCTTCAGCCAAATTGACCGATTTGCCGTTCACCATCCATGACGTGCCATCTCCTGTGTCTATGTACTTTCATAGGCTGTTTCCCATACCTCAGGCTCTCCTTCACTTCCATATCATAGAATTCCTAACTTCCTTCAAAACTCTGCTCAAGGGCCATCTCCCATGGAGCCTAGCTGTTAGTACCCTCCTCCATCAAATTAATTTATTGTATATTCTATATATATTTTGCATTTGCTTTTCAGTGTACATATTGTGTACCATCAATAGAACATAAGCTCCTTTAGGGCAATGATTGCTTCATTTTTGTGTTTGTAAATATGTAACATCTATATATAAGAGAGAACAAATTTCCACAAGATTTTTATTGACAAAATTCAAAATATAATAATTGAATACAGTTTTTTGTAACACAGACCTACTAATGAGAAGAACGGAATTCTTGGGGTAACATATTGCTTAGTTAGGGTTCAAATTTAGGATTCTTTTTATTCAAAATTGATCGCAGATGTTGCTGATCTATAAGATTTTGCATATTTTATCTTTGAAAAACATGTTTTACATAGATAAGTATTGCCAAATACTGATATCGATCCATGAGTCTATGATTTTCATTGAGCATATTGACCACTTGGAAGGCATTTTCAGAATTCTATTAGACTCTTCTCTTGACATTTGCCTGTTAATATGTCATTATTTTGTACATTAATTCTTCCAACTGAGGGTTAGGTGGAAGCTCCTCAGTTTCACAGTTAAATGGATTTTGAAATATGGAAAATTCTTTTGTACTTGAGGTCTGAAAACCACTGCTGGAACTTTAGTTTGAGCTCAGAAAATTTATCTGTCTCAACTATGTGTGGAAATGGAGATCTTGCTTCTTGTTTTAACTTTTGACAGCATGGAAAGTGTATGTATAAATCAGGTTGCTATTACTTGTGATTAAAACAACATTAGTTGGCATTGAATTGACTTTACTGCAGTATAAGTTTCACATATAAGCACTATTTTGCCTTGTAATTTTAGGTTGAATTCATTAAGAAACATTATCAAGTCTACAGCAAAAGCTGATATTCAAAGTCATTCATTGTTCAGTAATAATGCTTGAGTAAGGTTCTCCTCATCAGAAAAATTTCAGCCTGAGCCCTGAGCTCAAAAAAATTGTAATAATGGGTATACACTGGTAATAAATGAATGGTGTGTGTGTTGTGGTATAGAAAAAACACATGGCACTTGAAACCCTGTCAAGTTAAAACTGCATCACTGCAGTTTGTAATGTGTCAGGCAGCAGTGTGAAGAGCACCACACAATGATTTCTGTCATAACCAGTCAAGTTGGCTGTTCTTATGCAACAGCAGCAATAGACAATAAATAAATGAATGAGCATGGGTATGTTCTAACAAAATTTTATTTATGGATGCTGAAATTTGAATTTCATGTAATTTTCACATCAAAAAAAATACTCCTTAGAATTTTTTAAAACCGTTTGAAAATGTAAAAATTACTCTTAGTTCATGAGCTCACAAAAAACAGCCAGCAGGCCAGATTTGACCCATGGACCGTAGTTTGTTACCCCTTGTCTTAGAACCAGAGGGCAAAGTGGAAATAAAATGAATCCAGTGGCCTCCTCCTGAAAGAAATCCCAAAGTGAAAAAACCCCAAGAAACTGATAGCCAAAATCCAGAGATTCCAGGTCAAAGAAAAATACTGCAAGCAACCAGAAAGAAAGAATTCAAGTATCAAGGAGATACAATCAGGTTCACACATGATTTAACAGCCACCATTATATAAGAAGCAGAAAACTTGGAACATGATATTCCAAGAGGCAAAAGCTATATAGGCTTAGAGCCAAGAATAACATAGCCAGAAATACTGAGTATAATGCTACAGAGGGATAAGTGGGCTTTTCATGAAATACAGGCCTTCCAAACATTTCTGATAAAAAGACCAGAACTGCATAAAAATTTTGAAATTCAACCACAGGAGTGAAGAGAAACATTAAAAGGTAAACACAAATGAATACTCATAAGGGTAAACAGGATTAAACTTATATTCTAATGAGGGGGTTGATACATGTATCTCCTCTGAACCCAAATATCATCAGGGTCAAAGAAGAAGGAGTCTAATTAGACAAGGCCTAGGAGAAGAATGGAAAGAGAAAGAGGAATGCACTGATGGGGGAAAAAAAGGAAAGGTTAAGGAAAATTATCTCTCACATCCAGGATGTACAAGTAGATATCTATACAGACAAGGAGGAGGGAGTAGAAGGAACAGGTAACATTTGAACCTCACTATCATCTGAGCTGGTCAGAGGAGAAAGGAACACATACATATACACAGAGACAGAGTTGGGACAGCAATATTTTCCACTCAAAAAGGAAAAAGAAAGGAAACGGGAACAGAAAGAAGAAAGGATTTATTGAGTACCTATTATGTACCAGGCACTGTGCTAAATGCTTTACAAATATTACCTCATTTGATCCTCACAGTAATCCTAGGATGTAGGTGCTATTTTTATCCTCATTTTACAGATGAGGTAACTGACACAGACAGAAGTTACATGACTTCACCAAGGTCATACAGTTAGTACAGGTCTGAGGTCATATTTGAACTCAGGTCTTCCAGACTCCAGGCCCAATATTCGATGTACTATGGCACCACCTAGAGGGAGAACAGATTGAGAAGGGGATTGGTCCAAAGAAAAATAAATTCTAAATTAAGATGTACCAAAATCTTTGTAGTTCTTTTTAAGATGGCGAAGAATGAAAATCTGAGGCGATTACCTCAAATTTAGGAATGGCTGAACAAGTTATAGATATGATGTTTTGTAAGAAATGATGAAGGGGATGGTTTCAGAGAAATCTGGGAAGACTTTTATGAACTGATGCAAAGTGAAGTGAACAGAACTAGGAGAATAATTCATACAATGACAACAATATGGTAAAGACAAATAACTTTGAAAGAATGAGAAACTGATCAATGTACTGATCAACCACTATTCCAGAGGATTAATAATGAAACATGCTACCTCCTTCCTGACAGAGAAGTAAAGGACTCAAAGTACAGAATGAAACCTTTTTTTTTTTTGGACACTACCCAGTGCAGAAATTTGCTTTGCTTGATCATACATGTTTATAACAAAGATTTTGTTTTCCTTTTGGATTTGGGGCAGATTTTTCCTAATTAAAGAAAATATATAATTTATTTTAGAAAAGATAAAATTGAGTGACTAATTATGTCATCTTCCCTATTATGAACCCTGTTCTGAGCACTGATTAAGGAGTTCAAAACCCATTGTACTGAGTCCTACTCCATCTTCTCCAGACAGACTTAATGAACCACAGAACTCCCTAAGGGTAGCCAGTTCCCAAACTCCAGAAAGAAAAGTCCTTATATTATTGTATTATTTAAACATCCTATTTCCTGAAATCTGGGAGTTGACCCTCTACTATAACTTTTCAGTAATAAGCACATATCCCTATCTAGAGCTGGGCTGATATGTATATTTATTGATCTCTAGTCTTCTTTCCTCTAGTCCTTCTTTATAATGGAATCAAAATATGCATGATTTTATTTTTAAAAAGTAGCAAATCCAAATGAACTTGTTCTGTTTTGATTACAGGGAAATTAACTCAGATTGTATTTGGCCATTGGGATGTAGTCACTTGTCTGGCCAGATCTGAATCCTACATAGGAGGAGATTGCTACATTGTGTCTGGATCTCGAGATGCTACCCTTCTGCTCTGGTACTGGAGTGGAAGACATCATATCATAGGAGATAACCCCAATAGCAGTAAGTACTTGCATATAAGTTGTCTTATCAGAGAATTAGTTTTCACATATCCTGCCCCCTGATATTCCAACTAGCTATCCTACTCATTTTAATAATGTTTACATTATTTTGAAAATTACTCCTAGCTGAATCTAATTAATTTCTAAGTATTTCTTTGTAAATAAATAACCAATATGTACAATTAATTTAAAGCAGTTAATGATTTTATTATCAAGCTATTATTTTTATCAAGGGCACCTTTCAACTCAGGCTAGTCAAAGTTAAAATATGCACATAGTAGTTAATATAAATAATAAAGAATATAACCTGTATCAGATTGTTTGCTTTCTCAGTGAGGGAGAAGGGGAGAGGAGGTAAAGAATTGGAACTCAAAATTTTTAAAAAACAAATTTTTTTTCAGCCAAAGACAAGGTTTATTAGAACATCCATCATATTGGGCAGACTCTTAAGAAGTCTGAACATTAGTGAGCTATTAGCTAGATTTTAAGAATCTAAGTAGTGGCTAGATTTTAAGAATCTGAGTACCTTAATGGAGACAAGATGGACTTTATATACAGAAAGACTGTGGGAGGGATCTAGGAGAGGCCAAGTAGTTTGGGGTGACTGGGGAGGGGTCTAAGGAGGATCTGGATGGGAGTGGCCTATAAACTGAGGGGAACAGAACTCCTGGGACCTGGACCATGTAGCCAAGGGAGAATAGAGCCTAGCTAGAATTAAGTGTGGGAAATGGCTGGGGGCCATAGGGGGTAAGAGTGGAAGGCTAGGCTAAGTTAAGGGTAACAGAGAATTGGGAGATTGGGTGTAGCCACAATGAAAGGCCAGTTGATGGGATTATAGCCTCAGGAAAACGCCAGAGATTTGGCCATGTGGAAAAGTCCAGGGTGTTTCCTTTCTGGGGTCCAGATCCCAACCCCATCATTCCCCCCTCAAACAAATGGGACCCAAATTCTTCTGGGGTAAGGAGCGAAAGTCTTGGCTTCTGAAACTGCTTCCTGCTGGCGAGGGGAGTAGAGCTGTCCCTGCCTCAAGGGGATGCCAAAGAGGATGTTGACTGGAACTGAGCACAGGCTGCATCCAGGAAATGATGGGGGTTCATTGGCTGGTACCTGCTGTTTGCTAGCAACTGTAGGTGAATAGATTGCAGTCTGGAAGACACAAATCTGACAAAAAAGACTGCAGGGCCCAGATATGACAGGATAAAACACCCTTAGCTCTGTTTGGATTCAGATAATTCAGTTTTCCAACCGTGCAGTATCAAATCCACCTCTTAGCCAGACTCAGGAATAGCCAGGTGGCTAACATTCCTTTTCAAAGAACATAATGGGGAAACTGAGCCAGGAGAATCCTGTCTTAGACTGGGGCTAAGATTGTCTTAGCTTTTCCCGATGCTGACTTTCCACCAGTATCACATTCTCTCTGAGTAGCTTATGGCATTTCTCTCAGATGGTGGATTATTGATTATCAATGGATTATTATGATCCATCAGATAACTCAAAATCCTATGAGCTTTTACCTCACACAGCAAGTTTCACTAATCACAGTTTAGGAAAAACTTTTCCGGGATTTACATCTCAAACTTAAATTTGTCCTTGTGTAAAAAGCCATTCAGTAGAGATTTCTAATCACTTGCAAATTCTCAGCAAGCCATACATAACCCAAACAAGTTTTTGGCTAGTTTACACATATAAATCAATAACCAACAATAGCCAAATTATTTTAGGGGTAACCAAATTACGAAAAGTTGCTTGACATAACTGATACAAAAAGTTCACCAATTTGAAACTTGAAACAAACCTGTTACTAGTCAGGTGACTGTAGTTTTGTTAAATTCATTTCCAAATTACTTTACACAGACAATCAAGATCTCATCATTAACAGTTAAAACTACAAATTTTAAAAAGTGTGCTTACCCAAGTTCAGAGGCTAGATTCTTTACCTATAGCAGGACACACTGAACCTGATTGCCCCAGGGCCCAAGGCCATGGGGGGGGAGGGTAAGCTGCTGCCCCTCCCCCCTCCTTCCTTTTCCCCTGTGGGGGAGGGTGAAATCAAAGGTGAAAGGGAAAGAGTGAAATTGTCTTTTCCTAGACAGGGGTTAACAGATACCCTCTTGACTCAAGGGAAGGGAGTGATTTGGGTTGTAAGGAGGGGTTTCAAAACTCCTTAATGATCGATCAAAAAACCCCCAGAATCTGCCAAGAAATTTTTAGCTGTTCTAACTTTTCTCTGTAACCTCCATGAAGGAAGATTCAGGAGTATAGAGGGAAGGGAGTAAGTAAGCCTCAGGGAACCAAAAAGCAACTGCAGTTTTCCCCAATTCTCCAGCTCTGACAGAATGGATAGAATTGGGCATACGCTTCCTAATAGGGTATGCGTCTTTGTCCTCAATGCTGCAGAAGGTGTACCCAGGTCCACGGCCTCGAACCGACCCAGTGGACCGAGAGCCTGAGAGCATCAGGCCGAGTGCAAGACAGCCTGAAAAACACCTCCAAGCCTTGGTGCTTGGAGAGCCACCCCAACTGCAGAGCAAGAAAGGAGGTTGGGGCGGGGGAGGCTTATGTACCTTCCAGTCTTGGCTAGAGAAGAACTTGGGGTTAGGAAATTTCCCCATACAGGCCACCAAAATGTTGAGGTTTAGGGTTGCTGGGACAACCCGTGGGTCCTGCTTGAAAGAATTCGACCCAAGCCTTCTTTTAGCCAAAAACAAGGTTTATTAGAACATCCGTCATATTGGGCAGACTCTTAAGAAGTCTGAACATTAGTGAGCTATTAGCTAGATTTTAAGAATCTGAGCCTAAAAACAAATTTTAAAAAATCTTAACATGTAAAAACCTTATAAATAGTAAAGCATATTTGACTTTTGCCTTCCATGGTTTGTGAGTACACAGCTTCAAAGATGTCATTTCCCAAGTCCCAACTTAAGTACCAAACACTGATTTATTTGAATATTTGTGACACAAAAGAGTGAATTCTAAAGGAATACAGATGCACATCTCCTGCCCAGCTGCCAGCCAAAATATGAGCATAAAGTGATCTGTGTCTGGGTGGAGGAGGAGCACCATGTGCAAGGTCTTATGGGATGGCCTGATTAAACACAGCTGCTCCCCTGCCACCAGCTCAGTTGGCCTATATCAGACTTTGAAAGTAGATGAGAGAAAGTAGATGAGATGCACCCTCATAATCCTTCAAGAGCTCTCTTCATTTATGAAAAGCAGAGAGGATAGGCCTTTTGCAGTGATAGTGAAGCAAGAAAAGAAGAAAATACAGGAGAGATAGCCAAAGATAGAGACAGAGAGGTATTTGGGGAAGATGCAACATAAAAAAACTGCTAAATAGAAATGTTTCAAGATTTACCACTGTTGTTTCTGAAAATCACACCCACACCCACACCCACCCCCCCCCATAAGTGAATGGTCATCTGTCAAATATGTTGGAGGTTATATGATTTCTGAGGTTCTGTCTAAACAAAGTTTGTGAAAACTATGATTTTATATGTGTTTATATATGATACACACACACACACACACACACACACACACAAGTTTTAGTGCAGTTTTGGGACAACCTGTATGCGTGTGTGTGTGTGTGTGTGTGTGTGTGTGTGTGTGTGTATAGAGACCTACAGACATAAAGAAAAAGAAACAGGGTAAGCATATGTGAAGAACTCTGTAGCTAAAGTAAAAATGAGATGTGAGGAGTGTATATGCAGAGAAATGAGAGAGAAGGGCATGTATAATGTATTGGTTCCCTACCTAGAATTGTGAATTACAATGTTACTATTGATTTGGACTAAGAAGATCACAAAAGCTAACATCTTAACACCTTTGTATGTAATTTTTTTAATCTTGTTTTTAAACAAGAGCTTTCTAAAAAAAAATTTAACCCTTCATTTAGGGAGACTTCTAGATTTGGCAACATGTTATTACATGCGACAGATGTAATTCTCAAGCAGATAGGTTCGTAACCCCAAATTATCTCTATACATTTTCAGAAATTTGCTTCATATTAGTATTTAATCTTGAAAAAAGTTCTATTAAACAGTATTTCTTTATGTTGCATTATATATCTGTGTGTGTATATATATATATATTACTATATATAGAATATGCTATATTTGTATATACATTTTTATGTGTGTGTTATAGACATAGCTAATAACTAGAATTTATTAGTTTTTAAAAAGCAAAAAAAATTGTATGGAACAAGTTAAATCCAATTAGTTAGTATCCTTGGAATTAAGCTAAAAAATGATATAAATGATATTTCAGAAAAGGATTAGTTTCTTAAAAGCTGTCATCTGGTAGCAGAGATAAGATATTGTGTATAATAGACTTCAAGGGGGTGAAGAATTCAAAGAAAAAATGTCAGATTATAGTAATTATCTAGGTTAGGTGCTTTATTTTATAATGATCTTTTAACCAAAAGACAGTTAATTATGGACTTTAGCTTCTGTGCAGCCAATTAGCAAGAAAAGTTTTAAGAGATACTTATTCCATTAAAATTAGTAATGTTCATAAAGACCTGCAAATCCCCATCAGAAGATATGTAAATGCCATTAAGTTATTTTAATACATATATGTGAATATCTGAAAATGTACTTTAAAGCATTAAGGATATTTACTAAAAGTGCTACTGTTTTAATAAGTTTCTCTTATAGTAGCATATTACATATAGGTATCTATCATTATGGCAGATCATCTAGATACCTTTTATATCTGTATATTATAGAATGTAGTTTCTGAGAATTTATTTTTCCTATTTAAATTCTGCAACTATTTATGTATCTGCATCACATACCTAAGTCTATCTCATTTCACTCCAACAGAAATCTCTACTGAACTTTAATGTTAACATCATGTTTAACTTGTGACTTTATTTTATGGTCTATAATGTAAGAAACCATTTCATAGAATAACCAGGACTGAACAAGCAAATTTATAATTTAAGGAAAAATAGCTACTTAGAAAACTGCTTTTCCTGCTGGGAAACAAATTATCTAT